ACATTATTCAGCCACCTAACTTAACTATTAATGAAATTCAGCTTAATAAGATACAGCCTTACCCAAGATGTCCCAAAGGTGCCTTTTCCAAAAAGCCAGTGGACTTTCTTGTTTTTTTCCTTTGGAAATATTTTGCTTCTTGCCCAAGAAACTTCTTCAGGTCTTGGATGAGAGGTGAATTTTTTTCAAAGAAAAAAAAATCAAAATATTCCAGTAGCCTTTTGGAAAAAGCGTATTTGGGGGAATCATGACCCGGATGATTGAACATCTTGATAGACAACCTCCCTAAGATGTTACAGATCCCCTTGGCAGAATGATACAGAACTTTTATCCTTATGAGGAAGTGACACACATGTCCCTCAAAAAAGGAACACTGATGGAATATGTAAATCCAACCACCATGTTTTTATGTGACTAATTTTATAACAAAGGTTTATTATCTCAGTCCTAAGATCTGAAAAATGTATTGTTGCTTTCTGCAGATTGAGTGTGGTGATCAGATACAAGACATCTGTACTATGGAGTATGTGCCACACTGTGGTTCTGATGGGCAAACCTATGCCAACCGGTGTTTGTTCTGCAATGCCGTTGTGTAAGTATAACTTTCACGTTTGGAGAATTAAAAAAAAAAGTGATGCTCAGAGCTATTTTATCTCATCCTGCTTCCTAAGGATTTTCTAACAGAAATGAACATTAGAACTTGGAGAAAGGGTCTGTTTTGTCAAGTGAAGTGGCCATCAGATGATGCTGAGTTCATCACCAATTTCAATAGATTGGGAGTCAACGCTTCTTGTGCTTTTTCTCTTTGTATTCATTTAATAACGAGTAATTTTTCATCTTCTAAATTTTCACACCCCACTTTGCTTTTCTCTTACCAGAAAGAGTCGTGGAGCACTTAAACTAAAATACCGTGGACAATGTTGAGGAAATCAAGAAGGCAGATCTCTACTAAAAAAATCAACTACCATGGGTCTCTTGTTCATCCCATCATCTTGATGAATGCCATAATAAATCAGTTAACAGAATGAAAGAGAAACTATTTCACATTTGTTGATCTTTAAATGGCTAGTGCAACCGTTGGATGGAAGGATGACTCTCTTTCAGAACATCCTGAAATTTACAAAATTTACAAAAAATAAGTGGCACAATGTACAAAATTACTACTGCATTCTTAATATATATGTCTAAGCTCAG